AAAAATATTCTTTGAACCTTCTGCAATATGGAACAAAAGGTCTTGTACGTGTCCGACATGGATTTCAGTGAAATTACGAGCCCTTTTCCTTTTATATTTTCTACATCTCAAAAATTTAAATGCATTTCGCTCCCATCATAACTCAAAAAAAAATTTCAATATTTTTATTTTATTTTTTCTTTTATGTATTTTCATATTTTTCTTACACCCTTTTAATATTAGTTTTGTTTATTTAGCTGTTTATTGAGGTTATGCTAGGTTACTCTATCTCACAAAATTGTGTGTCATGACACTTTTTTGCTCTTAATTGCTCTACTCTTTGTTTCATGAGTCTGCTCTATAGGCAAAAAATAGAGCAACTTAGAGCACGATTTTTTGCGCTGACTTATTTTGTAGAGCAACTTAGAGCACGAAATGTTTTGAAAGACCTGCTGCCAAAGTTTCTATTTAAAAAATTTACTATAGCAAAGAAACGTTGAGTAAATATAAATGTAAAGACTACAACTGGACTACTCTGAACTTATTCTTTTCTCCTCATCATTAGGTCATTCAATATAAATATTGGACATCCGGCTTATAAATTACATTAAAACGTTCTCCAATATCTCGGGTTGAGCAGGCTTCATGCCCCACAAAGCAAAGAAATAATGCTAAATGCATTTTGGCACTATACACTTTAATATCATCCAGCTTTGGGAATTCTTCTGTACTTTGAAATTTATTACTAAGCATTTTAAATACGTCTCTCCTCACCCGAAAATGCATCATAAATTCTTCATCTGTGTACTTTGGAATTACTTCTTTGAAGTAAGTTTCGTTAAAATTTCTTTTATTCCTCATATCGGCAAGTACAATCAAATCATCGTCCTCAATAGTTTTGGAGCTCATAATTTCTTATGAGGATAAAGGCGATTTATCTGAGTCTGAAGAGTCTAGATATTCTTCCTTGATTTCGGTGATAATATATTTATCCATTTTTTATTTTGCAAAAATTGTATTGTATTTGTACACAAATCCATATATCTAAAACATTTGATATTTGCCAAATGAAAATTCAAAAATTCAACTGTTTTGAGAATTTCTACCTAGAAAGTGTAGCATGAGACTTCTGCTCCGTGCAACTCTAACTTGCTCTTTAGTTTTTTGACAGCTACTCTAATCTAATTTACTCTGCTCTACTCCGTTTTCAGTCTCAATAAACAAACGTACGGGATTTTCGATAACCTAATTCAAACAAAAGTTATAAGCAATTAGGTTTTTTGGTCGAAAAACTAGTTTTTTTTTTTTTTTTTTTTTTTTTTTTGTAAACGCTTCCAAATTTCACAAAAATCAATAATATTTGAAAATCAGTACGTACTGCAGTTCCACTCCAACGTCTATAGAATACAAGGTTACGACAACCGTTGACGTCATCGAATTAACTTCGTCATGTATACGAGGTGTGTTCAAAAAGTATCGCGAATTTTGAATTTTCGCGGGCATCGATTTTTTTGTGGCGTTATGCTGGTACTCATGTCTGTCACTTATGCCGACAAGCTCGGTCATTTTGAATGTTCACTTAATTCTTGACAGCTGCTTTGCTTGCACTTGTTTTGGATGGTCTTCGATTTTTACCTATTCAAAAAAATGGATCAAAGAACCTGTATCAAATTTTGTGTGATAAATGAAATTAAGTGGGCGGATGCATTTTGACTGTTGACTGTGGCATACGGAGAAGCTACCTTGGACCGAAGCAACGTTTATGGGTGGTGCGAAATGTTCTCAGAAGGCCGAGAAGATGTGAACGATGAAGAGCGTGCCGGACGCCCGAGCACTTCAACAACAGACGAAAAGATTAATTGCTGGGGCATGGTGCATCATGAGTTCTTGCCACAGGCTAGAACAGTCAAAAAGGAACATTACCTGCAAGTTATGCGCAATTTGCGCGAAGCAATCCGTCACAAACGTCCGGATTTGTGGAAGAACAAAAATTGGATTTTGCACCACGATAACGCCCCTGTTCACACATCGTTGCTTGTGCGCGACTTTTTGACCAAAACCAACACACCAATGATGCCGCAACCACCGTATTCCCCCGAACTGGCCCCTATGATTTTTTCTTGTTCCCTAAACTGAAGAGGCTTATGAAAGGACGACGTTACGCTACGATTGACGAGATAACGACGGCTTCGAAGGAGGAACTGAACAAGATAAGAAAATGTTTTTTTGAAGTGCTTCGAAGATTGGAAAAACCGTTGGCACAGGTGTATAATATCTCATGGGGATTACTTTGAAGTGGACAAAATAGATATTCATGAATAAATAAATAATTTTTGAAAAAAAGACAAAATTCGCGATATTTTTTTGAACACACCTCGTACAGTGGGCGGTACTGGACATTTATATAATAAAAATAAATAATTTTTTTCTTTAAAATTTTCTTAAAAAATAAAAAATAAAATTTAAAATTTACTTATACAGAAGAAAACACAAATCATACAATTTTTGTTTTTGCACTTACATATTCAAGTCACAATTTTTTTTTTTTTTTTTCACAAAAAAAAATTTTTTTTGTTTTTTCACAAAAAAAGCATTATACATTTTAGCGAAAAGCTTTTTAGCAGACAAAGAAAATATCGGGTTCGATATCAAATTTTTAAAATTACTGTATTTTTTCATAGAATTTTGATAATTTTTCTCGTTTTCGATATTATTTACGCATGCCATTCGTATTACAGGACACCAAAAGAAATGAAAAAAAATTTTTGGTAAAAAAATTATATTAATTTACATAATTTTAGAAAATCTTTTGAAAATTGCAATACATTTGTTCGGCATTTAACTGTTCAGTACGTTTTAAGTGTTGTTATTATTAATTGAAAAAAAAATACCAACCAAGGTTTTGGGGGTTTAAAGCCAAAATGTACGCCGTTTCATAGATAAAATTATGGAATTTTTTTCTTCAATTTTCGGCAACCCACAAATTGAACCAATTTCGTGATTAAAAATGTGATTTCCACCTTGTCATAACCTTCTATTCTATAAATCTTGTTTTCACTTGATACAAAATTGACAGAAAAAGATTTTTTGACATTTGGAGGCGAAGTAGTTCGTAGCAAATAGTAATAAGTACACATGTACGAAAAATAACATCTCTGTGCACTATTTCGCATTCCTTTTTATTCTCATTGTCCTTTATACTTTGTAATACTTTCTCATGTTTGAATAAAGTTAGGCGTTAAGTAAAATCTCGAAACTTCAGACATCATATTTTATTTTCATTTTAACTTCAAGATATTAACACTTTAAAAATTTTTCTTTTTTTCACAAAAAAAATGCCAAGCCGCCTGAAAATATTTTCATTTCCATTAGATTTCAGAAAATAAAATACAAAGACCTTGAGTTTTATTTTTCTTTCCTTTTTTGTTTACATTGAAAGGTGTTCGCATTTTTTGCAATATTATATATATTTTTTTTAATTTTAGAAAGTTGAAAATTTAATTTTTTTTAATTAAATTGGCAGCACAAAAATAATACAAAAGTCAAAAAATCTTTTCATATCAGATGGTTAATATTTTTGGGGAAAAAAAATTTTGAGTGAAACTAACTTGTTTTTTTGTATCATAATTCCCTAGCTATTCTCATGTAGATAAGCAAAAAAAAATTATTTTTTTGCACATTCTTTTTCACCCCATGTGCTGCAAGCCGCGAGGCTAGGCTAGAAGAAAAATGACTTTACAAAAATGTCCATAGTTCCGCCATTTCCAAATATTTTTTGTGGTAAATTAATTTTTTTTATTTATTAAATATGAAACTAATAACACATCAAACTGATTGCAATGCCTTTCTTTCCGCATAGAAAAAAATTTTTTTTGAAAAAGAATTTTTTTTGGTTTACAGTGGCCTTACCAATTAAAGCAAAAAAAAATCAATATATTAAAAATTAACTCTTCATAAGCAAATGCGTATACAATAAGCCAACAGACAGCGATTTATGCACATTTTACTTCAATTATTTCCTAGATTGTTTATCAATTAAACAATAAGTGTTATCTGGAAGCGATTTAGCCTATTTTATCTGCACTTATTTTATTTGTTATAAAAATTAATTAAAATTGTAAATAGTTTAGTTTAGCTAGCTATGAGAAATTGTACATTAAAACGAGTGCGAAATTGCATTTTGAGGTGCTTGAGTCAGAGCGTGTGCTACATATATATATATATATATTGAACATTTCACAAGTAATTTGTGTCAAATTATTATAAATAAAAAAACAACGAGTTCCTTATTGCTTAGGCTAAGGAGTTTAAGAGTTGGCATAAATATATATTTATATTATATAATGTGTGCTTTGTAATCGCTAAGGCGATTTTCGGCATAAACTTGAATTTGTGAAATTTTATATATGCATGTATTGGGTTGCCCAGAGAGAGAAACCGACGATTTTTCATGCAGACGGCGTTGACATTTTTGAACATTTTATGACTTTTTTAATTGTATTTCTTCTTTTGACAGTTATAAGCTGTCACTTTTAGCTTTCTTTGGAAAAAAAAAGGTACGCGTAATTTTGTTTATATTTCTTTATTTGGCATCAATTTTAATATGAAGCCCACAAAAGAACACTTTAGCCACATTTATTTTATTATTTTCTTAAAGGAAAAATGGCAGCGCAGGTCTGCCAAGTGAAGTTGATGATGACAATATCAAGGCTTTAATCGAATCGGATCGTCATGTAACTTAGCGTGAGGCTGCAGAGAAGTTAAATAAAATAAAATCAACAGTTCAAAATCATATACGACATCTTGGACTGGTTTAAAAAACTTAATGTTTGGGCACCACATGAATTGAAAGAAGGAAACGCTTGTGTTATGCAACTTAAACGTACTGAATATGATCCCTTTTCGAAGCAAATCATAACTGGAGATTATAAATGGATTGTTTACAATAACTTCATGGTCCAAGCATGATGAATCGCCACAAGCCACTTCAAAGGCTGATATTCACCAAAAGAAAATTGTGCTGACAGTTTGGTGGAATTGGTAGGGTGTGGCATATTTTTAGCTGCTTCCAAGGAACTAAAAGATTAATTTGGTTGTCTATTGTGAAAAACTGAACCAATTGAATGCATGCCTCAACAAGTAGCGGCTAGAACTGGTACATCGTAATGGTGCCATATTCCACCAGGGCAATGCTAGACCGCACACAGCTTTGATCATACGCCATAAACTGAGAGAGCTTGGCTGGGAGCTGTCGATGCATCCCCCATATAGCACTGACCTTGCACTGTCAGACTGTCAGTTGCTTCGTTATTTGCAGAACTCATTAAATGGTAAAACTTTCGAAAATGACGAGGCTATAAAATCGCACTTGGTTCAGGTTTTTTGCAGAAAAAGGCCAGCAGTTCTATGAGTGGAATAATAATAATGTTGTTCCCACAAAAAGGAACAAAATTACATAATCGATTAAATTTCATTATAAATTTAAAAAAAAAAAGAAGTGTATTTACTTCCTTTAAAAAATCGTCGCTTTCTTTAGGGGCAACTCAATATATACGCCAGTTTAGCTAATAATAATTTTGCGACATTACATAGATATTATTTTTTGTTTCATTTTTCTTTCCACAGAAGAGATTGCACTTATTTTATTTTTATTTTTTTTATGTTCAAAATAATATATAAAATTATACAGCATATTCTTACTAGCACTATTTGTTAGATAAAATTTTAAATTATTCCTAAAAAGAAAAAGCGTGCCATAAAATCGCTCAAAACTGGACACCTCCACTAAATAGATTAGTAAACAAATTATTTTAGTTGAAATTCATATCAGTACAATACGATTTGCATAACATTTAATGTTTTTTTCTCTCTTTTTTTTTTAGTACATTTGCTTTATATTTCTTTTTATTTGAACGGTGCTTATGTATGTATATGCACATTAATTTATTTGTTTGCTCACTTTTTCCTCTTTGCTTCGAATTAAAGTGCGTTTATACATATATATTTATGTATATATGTATGTATGTAAATGATTTGCTACTCGAGCCATGAACAATGTGTGCATTTTGAATTTCTTCTTCTTTTCAGCTTTCTTTGGAAGTTATAACGCATTATTTTCTAATCTTTTCTTTTATTTGCTTTCAAACACACATCGACAAACACAATTAGCAATGCATCAAGCACGGAATGTTAGCATAGAGTGGGAGAAAAAAGTTAGCAAAAAAAAAATCTTACTTTTATTATGGCCTTCCATTATTTTATTTTTCTTAATTATATAACATACATATATGTATAGAATTTGCAATACATTGTACATATTAACAGGTATTTGAAGCAATGCGGAAGTAGTGCAAAACATTTTTTTTTTTTTGTTTTCTATATAGTAATTGAGTGTGTGTTTGTGTGTTAGTGTGTTTGCGGGCGTGTGGAGAAGAGGATTTTGTTTTTGTAATAGTTTCTGTTAGACACAATAAGACGATGTCTTAAGTAGCAAAATTATTGTGTTTTAATTGCAGTACATATATTTGAGCGAATTTTTAAGGTTCGAAGCGTTCAATTTAAAGTTTTTTATTTTATTTTTTTTTTGTGTGTGTTATATAATAATAATAGTTAAAATTGCAGGCATGCTTGGTTTGCAACTGGATACAAGTTTAAAAGGCATAAAATAAATTTTATGAAAAAAATCAGATTTAAAGCAAATAAAAGCACACTCATTCCACTGATTGATGTACGTACATACATAAAATGGGTAACTATTTGTCAAACTAAGGCAGTTCATACGCCATTCCAGCTTTCTCTTTTTTTATATATAAATACTTTTTCTGTAAATGCCATTGAATGAACAAAAGCTTGACATTTTTTTATTTATTTTCATTTACATTATTTTAATTAAATTATTTAAATATATGCAAGTATATAGTGCTGAAAAATATTTAATGCCCAAAATTCAGCAAAATCTTATTTTTTTGCACTAATCAAAAATAGAAATTTTCCCTAAATGCGTAACATGTACATATGTATGTATGCACATATTTTCTTTTTTGAAACGGCAAAATTGCCTGGAATATTTTTATACATACATACGTGGAGTGTGTGAAATTATGGCTTTTTTTTTTAATTTTATGTAATTGAACGAAATATATTTTTTTTTAAATGAAATAAAAAAATCTAGGAAATTTTGCAACAAAAAGCTATTAGTTGACTAAAGCATTATAGTTATAATTAGGCCCAAAATTTTCGTAATATTTTTAACACCACACTATATAACCAAGTACATATGTATGTTACCAGATCAATTTATATTTAATTAATTTTAATTTATTCTCATTTTTATTTTTACTGCAACATCTACTTTTCGTATATATTTTTTGGAAATTTTTAAATATATATTTGTATAATATGTATGTATATGTACTTCGGCATATGCGTATCGTTTCGTTTCAGTTACACATTTGAATAATTAATGTTCCCTGCATACTAAATTTCTAGAGTTATACTCTTAGGTCCGGCTTAAGTTCCTTTGATAATACATATGTATGTATGTATGTATGTATGTATGTATGTATGTAAGCGCATACGCTTAAGTGCATGCAACTTCGTTCCAAAAATTCAATTCAATTACGTTTACTAATCACCACTCGCACGTTTCAAACACAAAACACTTTCATAATGCTTTTAAATAATTTTAACGCCATTCAAAAAATAAACTAATTTCGTTTTTTTTTTATTTATAAAATTTCTATGGCAATTTGGTATTGTACGATTTTTTTTTTGTTCTTTGAAAATTGTATTCTACGGTTAATTATGCATGTGCATATGTATGTACTATAGCATCAATTTTTATTTATGTATATTGTATATGTATGTATGTAGCTAAACATTTGTGTATTTATTTTTTATTTGATTTTTATTTTTTTTTTTTTGTTCATATTTAATTTTTTTCCAGTACGTCTGCAAATGTATGCATGTATATATATTTGTAAATATTGTGGATCTTCGAGTGTTTGCATGCACATACATACAACTAGAATGTATGCTGTTTTATATTTATAACATGTATATATGTATAGTTATTGGCTTTATAACCGCTGAAGCGATTTTCAACCGACTATGCAATAATTTTCATTAAATATATTGCAATAGGTATATATGTGTATGTGTATATATAATTATGAATATGCATATGTATATATATGTATATATTATTATTTACATATACATATATATTTCTTCTTTTCTTTAAAATGCTTTTGAATATTATAATTATTCGTTCGAGTTTATTTACTTGTTCTGTTTACAACACAACATATATATATATACATATGTATGCATGTATGTTATTTATCATTAACACTATGTTGTATAGTATATCGTTGGTTATATATATATATATATACACTTAAACTTATTATTTAACATTTTAAAGCTGAATTTGCTCCTGCAGATGGCTTATAATAATTTTTTTAGCTCCTTATTTAGGCAATACATAATTTATTAACGTTTACACTCTTTCCATTTTAACATCGTTACATCATTATGTATGTACCTATACTATTGTTTTATGTAAAACCATATAAAATTGTTTAAAAACCTATTAAAATAAGCTACTTGTATTTTTTTCTACTTAAAAATATAGTCACGCACATTATTTTTTAAAACTTGTATGCTAAAATATTTTCCTTACAACCGACAAACTACACAATTATGTATAATTAAAAAAATATGTATGTTTTTCATGTACTTAACAAAAAATTATTTTAAATTTGGTAAATGTATATATAAAAGTAACTACACAAATACAGTACAATTAAATTTGTATATAAAAAAAAAAAAAATAAAAAAAATATTGGCACATTCATTAACATTATTATAATATATATATATATTTATGCACACTGTATGTATATATGTATGCATGTCAAGTGTGTACGCAACAGTCGCAATCCTTTAACAATTTTCATATTTTCTCTTTTCATTTCTAATCTCATCACTGACAATTTGTGGCGACTTTTGCACAGTACGAGGCGGCAACGGTAATGGTCCTGCCTCTTTCGTTGCCAAACTTGTATTATTTGTTAGCGAGTTATCCGATACAATTGAATGTGGTACTGGATTTGGCGTTAGATAAATTACACAATTATAATATCAAAGTTCATCACTTATTGGTGGTGGCTCACGTACGTAATCCTTGGGGAAGTAGCCAACCTAAAATGATTTTTTTTTTATTCTAAAGTTTTAGCCGAAATTCTTTATAGATCTACTACATACCGTATCGCCAATTTTTCCACGCCACCAACCTTTACTATCGCCATCCTTGCCAATGACCATCACTTGACAGCCGGTTTTTAATTGCAATTGATTGATGGCTCTAGGTTCGTAATCATAAATAGCAAGTGCGTAAACTTCACGGTAGGGCCATTGCAGAGTTTGATTTAGACTGGAAATATATAGAGTAAGGATTGTGAAAATTCAGCATCTATATTGGCCAAATGACCAAAACAATAAAGCTAACAAAGTTTTACAAAAAAAAAAAAATACAAAATAAAAAAAAAAATAAAAAAATAAATTTAAAAAATATTAATTTATATAGTGAAAAAACTAATAAAAAAAATTAATATAAAAAATTATTATAAAAAAAAAAATTATAAAAAAAATTATTATAAAAAAAAAAATTATAAAAAAAAATTATTATAAAAAAAAATTATTATAAAAAATTATTATAAAAAAAATTAATATAAAAATTAAATTAATTAATATAAAGAAAATTAAAACAAAAATAAAAAATTTGGTATATGCATTAGTTCTTGCTGTGCTCTAAGGAAGGGCTCTACTAGTATTATTTCGCGTCGTGTTCATATGTGGCTATATTCATTTCAAAGGTTCTGTCATTTTGTTCGTTTTCAGTAGATCTCATTTGTTTTAGCATGAACAACAATTTGTTTCTTTCATTTGATAATTTCGAAATTTGTAGCAGATAAAAAGATTTGCGGGGAGTTCTTCTTCATTATTTTAACATGAAGAAAAGTTCTACCGAAAGACATCGTATTTTACTGGACGTTCATGGTGACCATGCTTGAGCCAAACGAACGTGCCAAAAGCGGTTTACACGGTTTAAAAGTGGCAATTTCGACAAAGACGACAGCCGAAAAAATTTCACGACGATGAATTGCAAAAGTATTAGGAGTTGATCAAGCAACCGTTTCTAGACGATTAAAATCATTTTTTCACAATAAAGTCTTAATTTTCAAAAAAAAAAAAAAGCCCGCACGAATTAATGCATACGCTAATAAATATAAAAAATTAAAAATAAAATAAAATAAAATAAAATAAAATAAAAAATAAAAAAAAATAAAAAGAAAAAAACAAAAGTTAAAAAATTACAACAAAAAAATTAAAAAAAATAAATAAAATAAAAAAATAAAAGTAAAAAAATATAAAAAAATTAAGAAAAAAACATAATAAAAAAACGAATATAAAAAAAAAATAAAAAATAAAAAACGAAATAGAAATTAAAGAAAATTAAAAAAAGATAAAACATACCGAAATTAAAAAAGAAAACAAATTAAAAAAATAAAAAAAAAAACATTTAAAAAAATTGAATAAATAAAAAAATTTAATTTTTTGATTAAAAATGAGCAAGACTTGGTATAATTTAGTTAATTTTTCAGTGTATTAATTATTATAAAATAACATATTTACAATAGTCATTAATTTTGCTTTTCTCTTATACTTCGACCACCTACCCCGCAAAATTTTCGCCCAAATCATTGCGTTCATAGAACGAAACCAGTTCGACAATGGTTTTAAAATGTCGTCGCGATGATAGAAAATAACCCAAATGATCATCCTGCATCTCTTGGTTGATTTTCATATGTTTAATGACATGCTCGTCGGTTCTAAAAGAAAAAGAGAAATAAAAATAATTATTAAAAGTTATAGTCAAACATGTGGAAATTGTAGAAAAGTGAATACTAAATACTAATTACACTACTCACTTCAAACTCAGCGCATACATCGTTTCATGGGGATTAGATGCACCTTGTGGACGCACGCGCAATAAATAAGTACCAATACGACGAGTTTCCAAACGTAAAGCAGCCGTCTCACGATCCATTGTGCCGACAAACCTAGGAATTAAGGAAAAGTTTGTGTATATGTGTTTGAGATAATTTGAAACAATCTAAATATTTCGCTGGCTAAAGTTAATAACTTTCCGCGCGAAACACATTCAAAAACTTAAAAATTATTGAAAGTGCAAGACATCATGCTAGTCTCTTTGGATGTAAAATATTTTTATTTCAGGAATTTTGGATTTTTTATCATTTCTTTCCTCACCAGTTGAACTCCGAAAGCTGACGATCGCAAACAGGTGGCGGTATCGAAAGCGGATTTTGTTTGCAACGACCAGTTGACGATATGCAGCCTTTGTGTACCGCAATTTCACACACTTTACAGCGATAGCCCTGTGCAAAGTCGTAAAAGTGGGAGAAAATAAGTTTTAAATTATTGAATTAAACTAAAAATTATACTATAGTTTCCTATTAGTAAAAAAAAATTCCATTCTACACAACAGCTTTTCCAAAATGCCTGCTGCAAACCCACCTGATGTATGCGTCCTTTCAAAAATTTCGAACAATGTCTGCATGTGGTGGGCGCATCAAATGTATATATCTCCATTTTGTGATCCGTATTACGACAACCCGGCGGATCCAAGTTTTCCCTGTACAACAAAACGTGATTTTAATTTAATTGATTCTTTTGTTGGAAATTGAAAAGAAAAATCACTTCAAACTAACATTGCTTCGGTGAGCGCTTTACGCCACTTATCACGTTCCGGTTCCGATTTCAAATACAACGTAAAAGCAGTCTTGCCCGATTTGCGTGCCAGCAATAGCTGACACTTGAAACGTGTATCCCTAACCAAAGTACGCCGCATATGACTCTGTTCCACACGATAATCGGCGAGATAGTGTGAATCACGATATGTATACTGCATATCGCCCATTTTTGAATGTAATGGCTTAACTAATATAAGTATTTTATCGAAAACGAATGCATAACGTAATTTCGTTTTCTGATCTTCATGTGCTTTTATATGCAATTCACCGTCCAACAATAGGCGACCATATTGGAGGAGATCATTGGTGCCATTAGGTAGTAAATGCAAATCGATAATGCTGTCCTGTGTGAGAAATTATTATATGAAATTGTCATACAAATATGTATATGAAAAAATATTTGCTTACTTTAACTTTTTGTATGATCACTAAGTGATCGGAATCACGTTTTACTTCGTTGATATATTGAGATACGTCAATCATGGCCTCTTTGGCACGCTCCAGTGCACGATAGTCCTCATGCACCTGTGGGATTTTCAATTTTCAATATTCATATCCAAACTATAAGTGAATTTTCAATTTCAAAACTATTGAATTCCCTTACCGGTGAAGTTTCTTTGACTAGTTTATCCAAAAGTAAATGGTATTTGAGAATTCGCTGCATGGGTACGGATAAAATATCACGTAATTGCAATTTGCCCACATTGTATTCGCGTTCACATTGCTATAAAATGTAGAAATGGATTTAATATTTATTAGCAGATAAACAAAACTTGACCAACTCACTTGCACAAGTTGCTCTATAATCTGATTCTTTTTACAAATATCAGCCAGCACATCGATGGCACCCAATAGACATGAACAGTACTCGCCATAGAGTAGGAACGGCTCACGGAATTCCAAAAATACTTGACTCATTTTCATTTTCGCATTTGGTGATAGCGAATCACGCAATTTTTCGAGAAATCTCGTGTGAATATCAGCGAGCTCCTGTAATGATGGTATTAAATAACGGTTTTTATACAAAAGAAAATTATAAAAAAAATTTATGGAAACTTACACGTATGCGTGGAAATATTTGTTTAATCTCCTCTGAATTCAGGTAACGTTCAAGTGGTGTCATAAATTTTGTCTTCAAGGCATTTAGCACATCTAAATAGTTCGATTCGGTATCGATCAGTTCGCGTATGACATAATCACGTTGTTCAAAACTAGTTGCTGAAGTGATCTGTCGTGAGTTGTGGGAAATGTTTTTATTACAATAAATAAATTAAATATATGAATTTTTTATATGTAATTTAAGTGCAAGCAAAACTGTAGGACATGCAATAAATGTGACTACGCTATGGAATATTACAATTACATACTGCCTTTTAAACAAAATAATATATTTTTTTAATAATAATAATTTAAAAATTTTATGTGAAAAAAAACTTGATTCAATATTATAGTAACAATAATAATTATTATTGATACTTTTTACTTTTATTTATTTATTTATTTTTATTTTTTTATATATATTTTGTATTTATTTACATATTTTTTTATTTACTTATTGTTTTTTTATATTTTATTGTTTTTTATTGTATTTATTTATTTTATTTAATTATTTATTTTTTTCATTAATTATTTATTTATTTTTTTATTTATTTATTTATTTATTTATTTATTTTTATTTTTTAACTCTTTTTTCATATATTTTTCTATTTATTTATTTAATTTTTTTTTATTTATTTATTTAATTTTTTTTTATATTTTTATTTTTTTTTTTATTTTTTTTATTTTTTTATTTTTTTTATTTTTTTCATTTTTTTCCCTTTTTTTATTTTTTTTCATTTTTTTTTTATCTTTTTTTAATTTTTTCATTTTTTTATTTTTTTTCATTTTTTTATTTTTTTTTCATTTTTTTATTTTTTTTCATTTTTTTTTTTTGTTTTTTTATTTATTTATCTTATTTAACTATTTACTTTTTTATTTAATTATTTATTTTTTTTATTTATTTATTTATTTTTATTTTTTAACTCTTTTTTCATATATTTTTTTATTTAAATTTTTTTATTTATTTATTTATTTTTTTTAATTTTTTTATTTTTTTTTTTATTTTTTTTTCATTTTTTTTCCTTTTTTTTATTTTTTTTCATTTTTTTTATCTTTTTTTAATTTTTTTACTTTTTTTCATTTTTCTATTTTTTTCCTTTTTTTCATTTTTTTATTTTTTTTTCATTTTTTTTTTTGTTTTTTTATTTATTTATCTTATTTAACTATTTACTTTTTTATTTAATTATTTATTTTTTATTTATTTTTTTAATTTATTTATTTTTTTATTTATTTATTTATTTTTTTATTTATTTATTTATTTTTTTGTCTATTTTTATTTTTTCATTTATTTTTATTTTTATTTTTTTTTTTGTATTTATTTTTTTATGTATTTTTTATTTTCTTATTTTATATTTTTTTTAATTAATTATTTATTTATTTTCTTTTTTAGTTGTAAAGAATATTAATAAGTAACTTATAAAATAAAAACAAATTAAATTAATACCTGACTTCTACTCGTTCTCTGTAAAGCACACAAATCTTGATAGACTTCCTCTTCTTTGGTATTTATATGATCATTGTGACATGCATTATTGTCGGTGGTACTGTAGTTTACATAATCAATTACAAATTCAGCGTCAAACCAATAATAAAAGTAATCCGATCCGATTTCCACATTTTAGAAATGAAATGTTAAAATGAAAAAAAAAAAACAATAAAAAATAAATTAAGATTGTAATATTTTTTTACTTTCATAAAATAATAGATGAACATAAATAAATATGCTGAAAGAAAATTTCAAAAATCCTATTTTTATTTTATGATACCAATTTTTTGCATTTTCTTTTTAATTAATTATATATATATATATATATACACATATTACTCTAAGAAATTATTAAAAAAAAAAAAAAAAAAAGAAGATCGAATTAACTACATCAGTTTGCGTAAACATGCATTAAATACATATATGTATATGTATGTATGTTTTAAAAATAGGAAGGGCTGATAAATAATTCAACAAGTGAGACTTTGATATAGCTGAAATACGCTTTTCAGGACTTTCGCTGAAAAAATAAAAATAGTGTGTAAAATAATACAAAAATAAATGTAAAAATAGTATATCTAATTTTTTTTCCACAACTATTGTTCATAAATCACAGTTTTAGAAGCACTCTGTAGAAGGCATGCTTGTATTATATATGGCTGTTGCGTTCAAATATAGCAGACACGCAAACCACCTTCGAGCAGTTCTCACTAAAATTTTTGCACACACCCAGCAAAGAACATAATATAGAGAACGTAAATTAAAAATTTTATTTACGTTCTCTGCATAAGAAATACGTTCTCTGTCACATATGTGAACAAATGCCAATGTGCAGAGAAATGTCAAAAATGCATTCAGTTTTCCTTTGCATGTGTTTTTGACAGTGAATTATTCCACAATTGATAAGCAAATTGCATTGCAATCGCATTGAAATTCGTGGAAAATTTTCAATTAATAAAGAAAAAATTTAATAAACAAATAATCGTAAACAAGTTGTGAACATTTTTCAGGTAAAATATGCCCTAATGGAGACAATGGAATTGCACTCGTATGCAAAGCGAAGGGTGGCGAAAAAATGTAAGTTGTAAATATTATACAAGGAAAACTGTATAATTTGTAAAAATTTCTGTAACTGTATAATTTGTAATAATTTCTGTAACCACCTTGAAACTGTAGGGTCAACTGAGCAGAAAAGGCAACTTGTTGAGGCACGCATCAACAACGACGGATTCTTTACGAATAAGCCAGCTGCAAGTGTAGCGCCGTGGAAGTAAGTAGACATTTGTAGTAAGATTTGGTATTTGATAGAGTAATATGCTAAAAACTGCACTCAAAGACACATACAAACTAAATTTTACGTATATGTACATATATCAAATAATTGCAGGAAAATTGTAAGTTTGGCTAAATTAGACGATTACAATGTCTTCTTCGTGCGCAAACAATGGTCGAATATGGTCAATAAGTACAAACATTACAAGGTAATAAACCTCAAATATTTTACTAAGCGAAATTGAAAATTTTACTTATACGTTTATCACAGCTAAACCGCTTAGATGTCATTCCAAATGGCGCACACGATGCTGAGAAGATACAGAAAATAACCCAGGAATGGGAATTCTTTGAGCCAATACACCGTTTTATGTCGCAAAAGACAACAAATTTACATTCGTACGCACTCCCAGTAACCGTACGTATACCAGTACCACCGTCGGCAGCACTAGATGAAGATGATGGCAGTTCTAATTGCTCGCCATATGGACTTGACGAGTATAGTAGCGACAATAATTATGTTTTCAATGCAAATACACCGAATGCTCGAAATGACGCACTACCCAATACAGATCATGATTTTTATACCAAGAAAAATGGTTTGCCATTAAATTATTTTGCCGATGAGAGTAATGATACTCAAGAATCAATGCTGGTCGAACAGCCTATCACCTGCAATGGTGTGACAGAAGGTATGGAACAAGTACGTTTGCATATAGCTGGCGAACAAATTGTTGAAATGAAAATGGAATCACAATGCGACACTCTGAAGACTGCAACCATTCAAGTACAGCAACATCAACAACAAGTTTTTAATGATACGAATATGCCCAGTACATCTGCTGGCTGCAGCAGTCGTTTGAGAAATTTACAACGCCGCACAATCGAAAGACCGCTTAACGAGCGGGAACGTTATTACCGCCACAAGCGTCATTTTAATCGTCGTCTAGAGCAACGATTCGATGCATTACTAAACGTATTCGGCCAAGTTATCAAAGCCGAGTATCCAAATATCAATGTCAGTCCAATATTGGGCGCCGCGGCACAGGGAGTCACGCTGGCAAATCAACTATTCAAAAGTGACGACGAAAGCGTTGATGAAGAAAATGAATCATCATCATCGTCAGAGCAATTTCATGTTATGGGAGAAGAGACGAATGAAGATGATGGCAATCAGAATGCTTGGCAAAATCACTAAACAGCAAAATAAAAAAAAGTTCAAAATGTGTTTGAGAAAAATGACTGGAAAAAAAATTTATTAAAAAAAGAAGTATTTTGTAATATGTATTTGAAAGTATGGCATATTCATATATATATAAAAAAAATAAAATCGACCAAATAAAAATATAATAAATAGCTAAATTTAATGCACCATGTGGAAAATCAAAAATTCAACAATATTGGTATTATTATTTAAATGCAAGAAAAATCATAGATCCATCATTAAAAACCTCTCACAAATTCCACTTTAATATCATAGCTCAACCGATGTAGGATACAAACTCTAGAGAGGAAATTTAAATTCATTCAACGTACCAATATTCAAATCAGGTATCATGCAATTGCAATTTTATACATATCTACACACTGGTTTCTATTCTGCAGAAATTGTGCAATACATGAAACGAGGGTAAATTACTTAAAAGAAAAAAAAACGGTAACAGATAAAAGAGATAAATGGAAATGCAGATTTGCACTTAATTCATAAATATTTTGTAAAACATACAAAATGCGTACTTCATTAGCATACTCAATGGCAAAGCGTTTGGAAATAGAGGTTTTCTACGTGGAATCGCAGCGATATGGGAAGAACGTGGTCTGAAGCAGGTAAAAAGTATTCATGCAACACAATAAAATTATTACTCCATCACATAACAATACCACCAACAATAAGAGAGTATGTGATAAAAGCAAAAAAAAAAGTAACAACAACTACAAGAGCCATTGAATTAAACGTACCACTGCATACGTGCACTCAGTGAGAGCATACATACATACAGAAATCTATATGCAAAATACAGTAAAAATGTTTTGCATTTAAAATTCATACGTGCATGTGTATGTGGATATGTACAAGTGTTCGAGTCCATATAGGGTTCGGTATTTGATGTTTAAAAAAATAACTCACAAATTTACAGGATATTTGCTAGCTCACCCGGGCTCTTTGTTACCACTTTGATTACTAAACCAGCTGAATTTGCTTTCGGTGATCTCCGCTACAATTTCTACACTAAAACCCCTGATTGGTTTAGTTGGTTGTATGCATTTCAGGCAAAGAATTATTGTATATTGATTTGGGTTGACCTTTATGTGGGCCCAGTAACCAACAAGGGTTTATTCTACTAGCGGATTACTGCTCTATTTCGAAAATTCGAAGTGATTTCCACGCAAATAGTCATCTCATTGAAATCAACGCTTTCTTGAATTTCAGTTAGATTTCAAATATTTTTTTCTTTTGACTCTAGGCAAGTGAATAAACCTGAACCGGCTTAATGTGATGTGCAGCTTGATTTTTTCCGCACAAAATGGAGGGAGCTACAGTTTATACTAAGCCGCCTCTGAACGGCTAATGGTTTTTTATGAGGAGGCTTTATTTTATGTCATAAAAACACTCGGAGAAATTTTTACTTGCCACAACTCAGGTCTTTAAACTGTAGCAGGTTAAGCTCCTACTTATCCAGGCTAGACACCAGCATACCCAACGTAAACCCACCTCTTCACATGCCCCCTCAAACCAACTCATCTAACCTCCCTCTCCCTTTGGTCCAACCCCGACGAAACAGCTCGTTTTCTGGTCCTCCCAGCAGGGCAAGCGGACCGCTACAACAACAACAGAAATTTTTACTTAATTTTTTATTTAAATGAATTTTTGTTGTAGGCAATGCTAACCCCTCGGTTATCGCGGCTGCCAGCGCAAACCCTACATTAAAAACTTGCATGCCTGAAATACTTCTGGGGACTCCGGTCGATGGCAGCCCAAATAAGTTCTTTTACACGCAGATACAACAACAACTCATGGATTTTATATGGTCGGACTTTTTTTTAATATTTCACAATTTTTCCCCCCAAAAATTTGGAGTAAAAATTTAAATTTTCCTCAAAAAAAAAATTTCAAAATTTGAATTTGATAAAAATGTTTTATTAAATTTTCCCACCAACCTCTCTCCGACACCCTATATAAACCCACAAATATGTACATACTCGTACGTGTATGTGTGACTTTTTGTATGCACCAAGCGCAAAAGAAAACAGGCACGCACGTGTGCAGCAGTCGACAATAATATTATTTGCTCTACGCAATAAGAAAAGCAACAAAGAAAAGAAATAAAAACAATTGATTGCGGGTGCGCACCTCAGTTGAGAACGTGACGTAGCATAAGTCCTCGTAAACCTTTTCATCCTCTTCAAAGTAAATGTCATTGAGATACTCGTGGCCACCCACTTCTCTGGCGGTAGTCTGATAATTCCATGCTGCTGCAGCTAAACGCTGCAAACTCTGATCGTCAAAGGGGCACAGATGATTGCCAAAACGATTTGCACTGACAATGGTGTCATCGGCGACGTCGACGCCGCCACCAACACCAACACCACCAACACCACCACCACCACCACCACCGACGTTCGTACTTTCCCCAACATTGTTGTTAGTGGGGATGACAACAAAGCCACCATCACTGCATTCAACGGAAGTTTCACTATTAACGACTTGCACACTCGACGGCACATTGGAGTAGCCACTAATGATGGATTTTAGCTCCTCGTTGCTGGTTTCAGGTAAATTTGGAAATGAGTCGCCCTCATAATCCTCGGTTTCTTCGGTGCCATTTTCCACAGTTATATCGCTATTCTCATCATCCACAGAGAGTGAACCGCTATACGAGATGACATCATAATTCTGCGTTTGAGTTTCAACACTGCAACCGTTCCTTTTCGGCTCCTCGCTGATGCGTGCGTGTGTCGGATGGTTAATTAATGAAAAATACACGCACACATACACACACATACACACACACACACACAAAGTGTTCATGCGTGTGCAATTATGCATTTGTTTGACATTTGATTATTTAGTTGAGCGATAATTTATTTATTTATTTTTTTATTGATTAATTATTTCACGCGCGCACACACACACACCCGCACACAACCCCCAACAGAGATATTGACGGTGTTGGTGGCGATTATTGGTATTAATGTTGGCGGAAGAGATGTGTGCAAGTGCGATAGGAGGCAGAAAATAGAATAGATAGTAGAAAATTACATAGGGGTTTGCACTTTATTTACTAAATAGATAAGCAAACATAATTATATTTTCAGTAGGCGTTAGTAGTTTGCGTTATTTTTAGAGAGAATTTCTTTATTAATATTTATTTATTAATTTATTATGCTGAAACAATTTTAAATTATAAATAGTAACAAAATGTGTAGAGTTGAATGTTATGTTAGTATGTACTTGTATTTATAATGTGAGCTGATGCGCTGAAGGCGCAGGTTGTTCACAGCAGTTACAGGGCATCATACTAGTTTAATTGTCATATTAATGCTATAACTATTCTACATACATATGTGTATCTCAAAATGTATGTACGTATGTATGTTTTAATGTCCTTCTACTTACGTTGAATGCAAATCCTTGTAAATGGCTTCATCGGAGTGAGAGCGCTCGCTAGGTGACAGCTGTATGTTGAAGCCCCTGAAAATGTAAAGAGATTAAGGCATTAATATGCATAAATATTGTGATTGATGCTAATGAATAAATGAATTTCCCAAGAAATAATTTATAATACCTTAAATTAAAGAGACTCATTTTCTGCTAGAACAAGCGACAGGTCAAAATGAAAAACTTCTCGCTTTTGTGTGCGTGTGTCGGTTGGTGAATTAATGATAAATATACATACACATACACACACACACGCATACACACACAAACACACAAAGTGCCTGGTCGACAGTATTGATCTGGTGACTGAAGCCCATGGTTGGTTGGTTAATTGATTGAAAGGAAAGGTTGAGGCCGCACACAAGCCATATACCTAAATGGGGTGACAGCCCTTGGCCGGATAAAATCCGGTGCGTAGAACCGGCTGTCTTGAGTCGCCCCCGTGTATGGCGTGCTCGGAGAAAATCCAACACCCATTGCAGACAACGAGCTCAAGCCGCCTCGAGAGATCCGCGTGACCATGGCACAACTTAGGTCTGGTTAAGCTCCTACCCAACCAAACTCGACCCCAAAGTATGCCCCGCATACTGAGAATCTCCGCACGACACTAGCCACCTCTTCACATGCTCCCTTTAACCGACACATCTAGTCCCCCTATCCCTCTGGTCCAATCCCGTCGTAACAGCACGTTTCCTGGACCTCTAACTAGATAACCTCGGCGACTTAGATTGATTAAACCTGTCCCTAAGTGGGGTTAGCGAACAACTATAACAACAACAACTATAAAACCAACAACAACAACCACAGTAAGCTCATTGTGCTCTCCAGTAATAGAGAACTATACTTTTGCGAATATTTCACTCGATTTGATAAACTGGTTTAATTTCTTCTAACCATATTTACCCATCTCCGTAAGGTTGGATCTGTGCGGACTGTGAAAGATGTGACTCTCAATCGGATTAAGGCCGGACGCCTGCAAAAGTAATGCTCCATTGCTTTGTCATCTTCTGTGCATGCTCTACACTCAGCCGATTCTACCTTAGTTAGCTTATTAGCTAGAGATGATATATCAGAAGTAGATGCCTCTTCAATAAACCCACAAGAATACTAAGTTCTCGTCTGCTTAAAGTTAGTAACAGACCAAACTGTCTAATTTGGTGGTATCCTACGTTTCAGGACCTTAAAAGTACCGACGGAAGCCCATAGTATACTGGATTTATGCAGGGAACACTTTTTCCATTGAATTGCAGTGAAAAGAATATACAAAGATATGGCGAACCAGATACCCTAATGAATCGGTACAGATGTCCCATTAACTGACTATGAAAAAGCCCGAACAGCGATTGCCCGTCTGAAGAACAACAAAGTGGCGAGAGCTTTTGGTTTACCGGCTGATGAATATGATGGGACGAAAGCATGCTCGATAATTGGAATCCAAAAGAACTTCGGTGGTTAAACAACCAAACTCAGAAAGAATAAACAAGGAGCTACGCAAGATGGTGCCTTCTCCACATTGTTGTTAAACTTCTATGCCTCGAAGTTCTCTCCTCGGCCAGAAGGAGTTTCAATGACCTCTAGTGCCGATAATTGCTCGATAATATATTGTTATCTCGGCGACATTTCACACTTCTTTACTGCAAGAAAATTACAGTTACAACCTGACAAATCCTCGGTTACCCTTTTTACCAGCTGAACGAGGGAGTACCGGCTTGAAATCAACTACAAATAATCTGACAGCTTTCACTCGGTATACGACTGCAATTGCCACGAAACTACAGTTAGCACAGAGAGAGAAGACAAAGAGACGTTGCTCGCAAGATACAAAGGAATTGGACGGCTATGCTGCTCCGATTTGAATGTCGGGGGCTAGTGAGACGCAGATGAAGGAGCTACAAGCCTGCCAAAACACTTCTAGTACTCTCTTATAGTGAATGACGTTCTCGGGATCAAACCACTGCCCATTCCATACGAAGGGCAAGATCTGATTCGAGAATCCTGCGAAATACTGGCGGATAATGAATACCGCAGTCGACTAAATTCATTCCTATCCATACATGCACAACGTATGCTCTCCATACAACGAGTCTCCGCTCGACACTAACCACCTCTTTGTATGCCCCTTAAAACCAAACCACCTAACTTCCCGAAACAGTTCGTTACCTGGACCTCCCGTTAAATGACCTCGATAACGTAGACTGATATTGTTTGCTCCTAAGCGGAGTTAGTTCCGGGCTAAAATAACAACAACAACAATATTAAAATCTAACACCAACAATATTGACTCTTAACTTTTAAGTTTTAAATAATTTCATCTATATTGGAACCTGCACCAACATCAACAACAATGTCAGCCTTGAAATCCAACGCAGAAACACTCCTGCGAACAACAGCTACTTTGACTTGAATAGTCAGTTAAAAAGTAGAGTCGCCTCGTGACGAACAAAATTAAACTCCAAAAGTTGCTCATCACCTCTCCTGCTAAATGGTGTTATAGCGTGGACGATGATGATTCGGCCTGCGAACGATTTATGAACCTTTGCGCATTGGCACACGGTGGAAATATGAGATGTATGATATGACGGCATTGTCATTGTTCGGCGAATTAAGAGAAGTATTTTTCCGATGTGTATCTCAGCCCATTTTGATTTATAAAGAAGAGATTACTACAACATTCGTCCCACCTCCTATAGTTACAGTGAAGATTTTAGGGTATGAGGCTTAATGTAGACACAATTCGCTTGAAAGAAGAGAGGCCACCGTGAGGTAAGCCATTTAACACGGTCTTAAGTACTGCGATTAGTTACTCTAGATCCAAAACAAAAGTGATCGAGCTTCCCTCGAGGCCAACATTTGGGGATGGCACACGGAGCCGCTAACATAAACTCCACTCAACACGTGCACGTCGCTCAATACAAACTGAGAATATTGCTGATGTTACCCGATGTGTTGAAGAAAACCCAGGTTTGTCCATTCCTCATCGCTTTTTGAAATTAGACACTTCACAAACGTCATTACACTGCATTTTGCATAAAAACTTGGGTCTTAGGGTTTATAAAATTCTGTCAGGCCAAGAACTCAAGCCGGCCGTTCATCAACAACGTTGTGTCCCTGCTGACTGAGTATTCGAAATGCATAAAAACAATTCGGAATTTCATCGAAATATCATATGGGCTGAGGATCATTTCCACCTCGACGGCTACGTCAATAAACAAACCTGTCGCAAAAACCCCAAGATTTATTGTTGAAAAATCTCTCCATCCTCTACATATCACTCTTTGGTGCGGTATATGGTCCGGCGATGTCATTGGACAGAACTTTTTCGAAAGTGAGGCTGCAGCAACAGTTACGGTGAATGGATTGCGCTATCGAAAGCTGATTAATGACTTTTGATGGCCGGAATTGGATGGTAGTGAACTGGACTACGTTTACTTTCAGCGAGACGGCGCTATGTACCACACAAACAACGAAAACATCGATATTTTAAGGCAGAAGTCCAGGAACAGTGCTATCTCTGGAAGATGTGATCGCAACTGGCTACCGATATCTTATGATTTAACAGCTAGCGACTCTTTCTTTTGGGGTCACATGATGGATAAGGTCTACGCCTACAGTTCAACGTCGATTCAAGACCTCAAAGATGGCATTAGTGAAGCTATTGAGGACATACACATTTGGTGTTTGAAAATTTCATAAAAAGGATATGGTCCGGTAAACGTAGACTTGGTGGCCATTTACCTGATATTGTTTTCCATTATTATTGGCATATCTTCTTCTTTAGATTTAAATAAATATCCGATCATTTATCTTCTTCTTTGAATATCAAAATAATTCCTCTTATTGGAAAGCCCTTTATAATATTATTTAATATAAACGGAAAGGAAAGGGAGAAAGCAACAAAACCACGTTCCATCAGAGTAGGGAGGGGGCGGTTAAAGAAAAATCACTTTTGGCTGTTTAAAGAGAGGGAGGGGTACCGTAAAAAGTAAAATATGACCACGTGGTATGTGGGTGATCACTTAACAAATTTTAATTAATTGGATTAATAAGTTTATATTCAAAATATTATCAACACATTTTATACTCACATCAAATCCGGATGCAATTGTTGTACTTTACGGCATTGCGACAATTTCGAGAGTGTTATCAGCACACGATGGAAATTCGTTAAATCATACAGCATTGTGGGCTCAAAGAGATCCGAATCGCGTAGACCAAAATGATTACGGCAGACGTCCAGAAAAAGCTTTATATTTTTACAGCATAAAAACTGAAATTGCAATAAAGAAAAAAATTAAAAAGAAAAATCAGCGCACAAAAAATATATTTACGCTTTTGCGTATGTAAATATGTATGTGAAAAGAGTGCCATGAAAAATGGGCATTGGAAATTCAACCACAAAACAAATTAAAAACTTTGAAATTTATTGCCAAACAACGGTAAAGTTTTCAATGACACTCAATTTCAGGCAACAGCCATCAACCGAATTAAATGGACACGCCATTGAAAATCGAAGGTGGAAACCAAATAAGTGGGCAAGGCAGGTTTGTGGGGGGAAAAAAAGCAAAAAGGCGCAAAAATACCTAGAAATCGGGGTGGCAGAGAAACAATACAAAAAAAATTTAACGAGAATATGACATAGAAGAAACACAAACAAAACATCCATTAAAAGAGACACGTGTGGACAGGCAATATTTTCGAATAAAAAAATCAGGTTTCAAACCAATGACTTCTAAAAAAAAATAGGCATAATTGACATGTGACAAGCAAATTGAGCACTGGAAAAAGAAAAACTATGCACTCAAAGGAAACATTCGAAGAACGTACAAATTACAAGCAGTTTGTGCCTTTCTTAGCAAGAAAACTTTGATTTGCGTTTTAATTTTGTATTGCATATTTCTAGGCATAAATACGTATGTTGAATATGAACTTCACAAATGGTTATTAAAGATTTAAGCTCACACAGAATGGATAGGGTTAAAGGAAAAAGGCTGCAGTAAATAGGATTTTTTTTAATTGCAAGGCGGTCAGGAGTGAGAAATAAAAACAATTTATTAACTAAGAATATACCACAGGAGGTTCGAATTTCTATTACCGCAATTTTCCCATATATATATGCGCAAAATTAAGGAAGTCTACGGAGCAAACGCTCACCAGTTCGACGCCAATCGAAGACACGGAACGAATTCCGATCATTCCAACGGAATCGGAGTCTTACTCCTTCTTCGAAAAAGTTTAAAGATGTTTATTCAGACTACACGATATAGCTATACCAGCCGTTTTCTCTTAAGTCAATATACCGTGTCAATGTCGTTGCATATCTCACAAAACTCGTAGTTGCAATGGCTGTGGTAAATGCTTTAGCCAAACGCAGAGAACTATCTTCGGCAAAATCTCTTACTCAAAGGCAAATAAAAGCAACTCGACACATATCATCATTGTCTTCGCCTCTGCACCAGCTAGCATGATGTAAATAATAAGCGATCTGGAGAACATGATCTTTGTTCGTGGAGAGGGGATTTCTCTTTTCAATTGCCTACTCAGTCCAGAGTAGACTGGCTCTGCATTGGATACCGAGGCCAACAGCGTGCTTGGCATAATTTTTTAGTTCCTTGGAAGTATGACTATCAAGAGTGATTTCGGGTACCAAAAGCAAGTATGCTGAATTTCGTTTGATGAGGAAGAATATTTGTTCTCGTTCACTATCAGACCCATTCGCTTTCTTGCCTTGCCAGGGTGGAAAAGGTAAAAATAACAGCGCGCTTGTCAATATCATCAGCACTCGTCGAAAGTTGGAGTATTGTAAAAGACTTAGAAGACCTATTTATCTCATAGGTTGAAAAAGTCACATGATAAAAAGTCACCCTGCCTAAAAGCTCGTACAGTAGCGAGCGGCAAAAATAGGTTTTTAAGTTTTGATGGAGCCGTAACCAGGTATACCCCATAGTCAAGCTTCTTGGTGGTCAACTGAAGTCGCGCGGCTATACTCATTTCTTACTCTTGCGTTCACGACGCGCATCCTGGAAACGTGAGCAAACCGTGTAGAGTCTTGGGACACAGCTAAAAGAGTGAAAGCTTTAGTTGAGCCACTCCGTTCAGTTCAACGGTTCGCTGAAGTCTAATACAGCGTCTGTTCACCAGAGGTGCGGCTGCGAGCTAGCTTCGGTCATGAAGTAAGCGGCGGTGTAAAGCATTCAAGCTTACTCCCTTAGGTAGGCGAGGGGAGCGCCACGTAAAAACCAGCTCTAATGTAAAAGACAACAATGCTACGGATGAGATAACTTCCTTTTGATGACAACCCCTGCAAATGTTTTAAAATTCACGATATGAGGGGCATGCACCTGTAATGCCTGGTATCTTAATTGGGAAGTTGCCGCTGCCCAGCCGATTGATGGCCTAGTAAGATTAAAGGCTGATAGCACCACCGTGCACAAAATGCGTCGGACGGGTTAAGGACGGAAGCGAGTAGGTCCTTGTGACATTTATTGCAGCGGCCATGTAAAGGAGAGCAAATACTGGCATTCACGGTGGTGGATAAAAGTTTTGCCACAATCCAGAACAAAGCGAAAGTTTTTGACATATTGCTGATTTGGCCCCTCGCCCCGACGCAAAAGAAGGACAATGTGACCGAAGATACCTACTTTGAGCGCCTGGAGCGTACCTATGAGGGGTATCGATGCTTTTCTCTTGTATCTTCTCTCAGATCTGGTGCCTGATGAGTATCTGGCGGATCGAAAAGATTTAAACCCACACAATCAGTTCATCGACTATGAGTTGTAATCTTTAACACAATACGCTCGAAAGAGTTTTATATGCGATACTAAGTATGCTAATCCCACAATAATTGGAACAGACTGTGGAGTTTGCCTCACCCGACCAAAGCTGTTGCATCTATATTGTTCATCAAACGTGGGATTAAGAGCGCGAGCCGGCCTAGAACTTTGCTATAAAAATATGTCTCCATTCTAAATATATCCCTCGCAAAGCCAGATTGTGCGCTGTGCTTGGAACCCACCACGCAAAAAATTCAGCTCCAACGAAGGACCTTAATTTTAAGGACCACATAAACTGAAAATAAATTTCATAATAAAAAGTTTTGCTTTTATTTTCAGCGAAGACAACAACCCTCTTTCCTCTTCCAACTAATGAGTGTGGTGTTCTTTGGCTTGCTCACATACAAATGTAATTTCAACCATTTTATCCACGCCAATAATGTAACTAATACTTTCAAGAGAAAAATATTGAAAGCAAGCTAATGATTCCTTGAAATTCTTTCCATTTTTCAGGGATTTTAAATTTTGTTAAAAAAGTACTGAATGCAATAGAGGATAATCGTAAAAAATTACTGTGAAATGGAGTAAACTAAAGGTCAGCGAAATGTATTTGTGTTGGAGAAATCACAAATGGAAAAAACAGATATGCATGAACAGCTGTGGGCGAACGGTGTTCACAACTTTGGAAATCCATATAAATACAGGGTGCTTCATCTTTTATGTCGGTATGTAAACGCTGAGTATCTTTCACATTTACCAACCGAGCGATTGCATCAGATATGTTTTGGAAACATTCGTGCTGAAATCGATGCCATAACACCAGACATGCTTGGCAAGGTAATGGCAAACACAGAAAAATGGAGTATTTTTGTAATTGCTAACAAAGGCAGCCACTTGATTGATATTGTTTTCAAAAACTAGTCCAAAATAAATTTTAAGAACCCAAACTGAATAAAAAATACATCACTAGGCCCGTATTCTGTCGAGGTAACAAAATTTATCAAGTGTACAACTTTGCTTCCACCGATTTCCGATAGGTAGCTGTTCCGGCTGAGGCTGGTTGAAATACATAGATGATAATGCCTTTAAAGTGAGTGTGGACAGTGCCTAACGAATCGTCATCGCCGTTTCAGTGACAGTCGTTCTTGTTTTCGTATTATTCACACTCGAAAATGTCCGTTTATGTGCCTAATTCTTGCCATTTGCGGGAAGTTTTACTTTCCTGTTACAGTTCGAAAAAAAATCCAGCTGAAGTGCATCGAATGCTCTCAGAAACTTACGGTGATGCTGCTCTGAGTGAAAGAACGGGTCGGGAGTGGTTTCAACGTTTTAAAAATGGTGATTTCGATGTCGAAGACAAACATGGTGGTGGAAGAGAAAAAACCTTCAAAGATGATCAACAGAAGCATTGAGCTCTTAAAACCGGTTGAAACCATCACAGGAGATCGCTACCGAACGCAACTGAAGCGCCTTAGTCGCGCGCTAAAAGAAAAGCGGCCACAATATCAAGAGCGACATGACAAAGTCATCCTCCAACACGACAATATTCGGCCTCACGTCGCAAAGGTGGCCAAAAAGTACCTGGAAACGCTGAAATGAGAAGTCTTGCCCAACCCGCCGTATTTCCCAGATGTCGATGGCACACGGCCTAGCAGATCAACATTTTCAATCCTTCGAAGAATTGGAGAAATGGATTGCTTCATGGATAGCGTCAAAAGAGGACTCCTTTTTTCGAGCCGGGATCCGAAAATTGCCGGAAAGATGGGAGAAAGTTGTCGCTAGCGAGGGACAATACTTTGAATAATATATCTGTAAGCACTTTTTCGCAATAAAGCTTTTAATTTGGAAAAAAAAAACGGCGGAAGCAAAGTTGTACACCTGATACTTTGGTATTAAAATTTTCCATTCAGTAAATTTTGTTACTATTTCGTATTCTGAGTTTACTGACACCCTGTAAGTTTTGTTACCAGCGAAATAAGAGGTAGCAAAGAATCAGCCGTTCGATTTTGTGTTGTTAATTTGTGAAAAAAATATTTTTTTTTAGAGAGAGAACATCGTTGCCGTTTTATTCGAGGTTTCTCTCATTTACTTTTACCGATAATAGTGAGAATCGGTTCTGTTTTCTCAAGTTTACATTCCAGACATAAAAGATGGGGCACCCTGTATATCTACTTTTTTTTGGAGCTGATAATGGGTCTGAATCTGTATATATGTGTACTCGTGTGTAGTGATTCCTGTTATAATAAATATGATTTTGAATGACCACAGCTGTGCAGCAGCATACAGAGTACATATACATATTTATCTTAGCATATAAATTTAGAGAGATATAAAATAAGGGATACTTGTATGTATGTACACATATAATTTTCAGTTTCACTTAGAAAAATGCAACAACATTGCCTTATGGAGAGAAGTCATATTACCCTTTAGAGTTTAAATTGGATTTTCGTACACAATAAATAAGAGACTAACAACTACTTGGCACGAGTATCGT